CTGTCACACACAGAGCCGCAGGTTGATCAGGGGATTGTGGAGCTCCCCCCTATCAGGCACAGAACAGGGCTGATCAGGGGGTTGGGGCGCCTTCCCCTGTCACTCACAGAGCCGAAGGGCGATTGGGGGTTTGGGCGCTGCCCCCTGTCATGCTGATCCCAGTGCCGGGAGGCCTCACTGCTCCGCTGATCCCAGGTGCCGGGGGGGAATATTAACCCTTTTAACAATATAGAAAAACAGGCCTGGTGCACGGGTGGGGGCTGGCTGGTTTGCCCTGAAGGGTGTCCTGGATCAGGGTGGGGGTCCTCACTGGGGTGCCTGGCCAGGCTGGCTGAGGGGCTGAGGGCTGTTTTCCGGCTGGCGGGTGACAGAAGCTCCCAACCGCTCCTTTTTTTCTTTTCTTTTTTTTATTCTGTGCCAGCTTTAGCTCTGAGGCCTCGCTGCTGAAAACATTGATACAATGTTGCGGTCCGGCTGACTGAAAGCCGGTTTCTGGGGTTTTGTTTAGCTTCTTATTTGCAACATAGTACATAGTTGCTTAGAGTTGCAGCTGAGAGGCCGGCAACTCAGGCGGTGAACGTTAGAGTCAGCCGTCACTGGAGCAAGCAAGCCTCCCTGTTCGCTTCAGTGCATGGCTGCCGGCTGCCATCTTGGCTGACAGTTAATTTGCATAAGGATATGCTGATTAGCAATGGGAAGGGTAGCGTCGTACGCTAATTACCATGTTCTCTTTTATTAGTGTAGATAAGTGACCTTCAAATTCAACATGTCCAATGTTTCTACAAAATTTTCTCAGTTTAAAACATCATTATCTTGAGCCTATTAATCAACATGTAAAACTTAGGGGTTCCTCTTGAATTCTTTGCTTTCCCTTATATATTGCCTAGATCCAACACATCACTTAAGTCCAGTGTCTTTTCAAGACTACTTTACTGAATCCTATTCTCATTTTAATTGTATTTAACATCTCTTGCCTATACTGATATCATAGCTAATTGACCTCCGCATCTGCTCAGTCCTTACTCCAATCCAGCACCCCCATCATCACTAGGGTTACCTTACTAAAATATTAATTTAACTTCCTTACAATCTAGAGAAGTAGCGACTACTACATATAAGGAAACTGAGTCAGACAAGGTGGTAGAAGTAGCTAAGTAGAAAAGTTAAAAGTAAAACAACATGCAACCTGGTCCAGAAACTGTACCCATCATCTTTCATGAAATACACAGCTAATGCTCTTTATAGTGATAGCCTGAGCTTCACAAAATATAACATAAAACATTCATAAGTTTAGAAAATAAGAGATAGTCTACCGTGTAAAAATGGTTGAAGTCTAAGTAAGTGTTCTTTAAAACTTTCTAGGTGACCATACAGGAAATATATAAAAAGTCTTAAGGAGATCAAATAGCCAATCTGTCAAAAGAGAAACAAAAAAGCATTTTTGTGTTGCATCAATAAATGTTTAAAAACCATAAAGAAAATAAACCATTTTCTTATTACATTTGCTTTTGATGGAACAATTTTAAACTCTTGAGATTGTGTGCTTTTGAAATAATTCTAAAACATTTATATCAAGGTTGAAATACTGGTTCAGCCAAAACACATTTATAAATCATCTCTACATTACATATAACGGCCAATACTGAATGATATTCTGTTCTGTGTTCTTTAGAACAGTATTTTTCAAATTGCAAGCCATGGTCTTTAAGTGAGTCATGAAATCAATTGAGAGGGGATTTTAAAATAAAATACCATAGTACATTGCACAGTTCCTCATTTCACTTATATATAAGTGAGTATGTTTTAATGTGTGTGCTGGATTGCAATGCAAAATATATTTCTCCCTATGGGTCTCAGTCCAAACAGTTCAAAAACACTGTTTTAGGTAGTTTGAGAAATAGTCTTCCTATTCATAGTATTCTGTACTAAGATCCCCATTCCCTCATGAAAAAATATCATTACTAAATAAAGATAATGACTTATTTTTGTGAAGTTTAAAATACATGCATAGCTAAAACAGTTTTTTCACATAGACAAGAAAATGGAATATCTTCAAAATCATATGATATGCAAGATTTCACAGAAAATAACCAAAAAACACCCCAACTAAGTATGGAAATAAAGAGAACACATGCGCTTTTAGTTACTAAATCACAAGATCATGGAGAACCAAATAATCTTCTCTATATATAAAAGCCTAAGTGACCGAACTACCAAACGACCGATCAACCAGTCACTATGATGTGCACTGACCACCAGTGGACAGATGCTCAATGCACAGGATCGGGCTCCCTCCTGTCTGGATTGGGCCTGTGGGGATCCGGCTCCCTCCTGTCTGGATCAGGCCTATGGGGATCGGGCCTGTGGGGATGGGACTCCCTCCTGTCTAAATCGGGCCTGCAGGGATCAGGCTGAAACCAGCTATCTAACATCCCCTGAGGGGTCCCGGATTGCAAGAGGGTGCAGGCCAGGCCGAGGGACCCACTGGTGCACGAATCCCTGTACTGGGCCTCTAGTAATAATAATAATAATAACTATCACTATGTCAATGTCAAACTATACGTGTATCTAAATCCTCTTAACAATAATGAAGAGAATTATTGGATCTACATGTAAAAAAAAACAACAAAAGAAAATCTAAAAATGTTTCTACACAGTCTCAGTGACTCACCTACAACTATCAAACAAATAAGTGTCATTACTAGACTTTGAACCCAGAATTGTATGACTTGCACCAAAAGTCATGAACTTTCTATTACAGCAGGGATTTTTCCCAATATTTTTATCACAAACTTATATCAGTAAAATAAATTCTGAGAATTCATCATCAGTATTTGTAAGTGTATCCTTAAATTATAACCATATACCATTCATAGACTTAAAAAAATAAATAAAATGTTTATAAGGTATGCCCAAGATATCTTCTCATATAGACCACTTTGATATATTTCTGGGCCTCTCTAAGAAATTGAAGTGAATAACTAATCTGAAGAAATTTAGGATTTTGCAAAGGATTAAAGATTGGCATTAAAATAAAAATTAATGTTTTAAAATTTAATATGAGAAAAATAGAAAACTAACTGAGATGCATATCAGTTTGATCACTGTATTATACCCCAATTTGGTCATGAGTTTTACCTGATCTAGAGTCTGTCCCTCATTATAGCTATGCTTGAGAAACAGGTTTTTAAAACTTTCCTTTATAATATTCTGAAAGGCCAGATTTTCATTGAAAACTCTACTTTTGTATGTCTCTAAAGAATTCAGGAACTTTCTGTGCATCCTGCCTCATGTATCGTTTATCAACATAGTCTCTCTGTTGCTTGACAACTCAAGCTTTGCCTCCTAAAGCTCTGCTTGTCAATTTCTCTTCCTTTACTCTCCCATCTTCTTTTCCTTCATTCTTTACCCCCTTCTCTCCTTCTCTTTCCATCTCTTCTCTTCTAGCCTTCCTTTTATTTCTTTATAATAAAACTATAAAACTACTAGTTAAGCTAAATTTCTTTTACTAACAAACTTCCCAGCAGGCAACATGATCACCACACATGACATCAATCCAGGAGCTTATAAAACATGAACTACTGGAAGATGATTTCCCATCTGATGGCTCTAAAATGGCTGGGAATACTGAGAGAACAATGATTTTTCTCAAACTGAGCAAGCATTTTAAAAAGTGAGCAAGCATTTAAGGTGATCTGTTGGTATTTTTAAATGAAAAAGTGGCATTTTAAAATCCTTAAAATAGGAGAAAAGCTACATATACTAAGATGTAAGAATACACTTGATTTTTAATTGAATCCTAGAGGCCCAGTGCATGAAATTCATGCAATGGGGGGGTCCCTCAGCCCCACCTGCACCCTTTCGCAGTCCAGGAACCCTCACTCCTTACCGCCCACCTGTTCACTGCTCCTTACTGCTTGGCTTGCTGCTCCTTAGTGCTGCTGCGGAGGTGGGAGAGGCTACCGCCACTGCTGCTGCGCTAGCCAGCCATGAGCTCAGCTTCTGGTTGAGCGGCGCTCGCCCAGTGGGAGCACACTGACCACCGGGGGGGGCAGCTTCTGCATTGAGTGCCTGCCCCCTGGTGGTCAGTGCGCATCATAGGAACTGGTCATTCTGGTTGTTCCACCATAACGGTCAGTTAGGCTATTATTATATAGACTAGAGGCCCGGTGCACAAAAATTTGTGCACTCTGGAGGGTCCCTCAGCCCGGCCTGTGCCCTCTCGCAGTCTGGGAACCCTCAGGGAATGACCACCTGCTGGCTTAGGCCTGCTCCCCGGGGGATTGGGCCTAAGCTGGCAGTCAAACATCCCTCTGGCAGCCCGGGAGCCCTCAGGGGATGTCCACTTGCCAGCGGGGAGCAGGCCTGAGCTGCAGTCGGACATCCTTAGTGCTGCTGAGGAGGCAGGAGAGGCTCCCACAACCACCGCTGTACTGGCAGTCATCAGCCTGGCTTGTGGCTGAGCAGAGCACCCCCTGTGGGAGCACACTGACTACCAGGGGGCAGCTCCTGCATTGAGCGTCTGCCCCCTGGTGGTCAGTGTGTGTCATAGTGACCAGTCATTCCCAGTTGCTCTGCTGTTAGGGTCAATTTGCATATCACCCTTTTATTATATAGGATAGAGACCTGGTGCATGGGTGGGGGCCAGCTGGTTTGCCCTGAAGAGTGTCCTGGATCAGGGTGGGGGTCCCACTGGGGTGCCTGGCCAGCCTGGGTGAGGGGCTGATGGCTGTTTGCAGGCTGGCCACAGCCCCCAGCCACCCAAGCTCCCAATGGAGGCTGGCTGGAAGCAGGTATCTGGGATTTATTTAGCTTCTATAATTGAAACTTTGTTGCCTTTTGCGGAGGCCACAGCCGGCCAGAGCAGGTGGGAAGCTTGGCTTCCTCTATCGCTGGGGCAACCAAGCCTCCTGCTTGCTCCAGCTCCGTGGCTGCTGGCCGCCATCTTGGTTGGGTTAATTTGCATATAGTCGCTCTGATTGACTTGTGGGCATGGCTTGGGCATAGCGAAGGTACAGTCAATTAGCATCTTTGTCTTTTGTTAGTGTAGAATAGAGGCCCGGAGCACGAAATTCGTGCATGAGAAGGGAGGGTCCCCTCAGCCCAGCCTGCACCCTCTCCAATCTGGGATCCCTCTCACAATCCAGGACTGCTGGCTCCTAACTGCTCACCTGTCTGCCTGCCTAATTGCCCCTAACTGGCCCCCCTGCCAGCCTGATCACCCCTAACCACCTCTGCCTGCCAAACTGATCACCCCTAACTGCCCCCCCTGCTGGTTTTGTCACCCCTCCTGGTCCCCCTTTGCTGTCCTGGTTGCCCCTAACTGCCCACCCTTCCAACCTGGTTGACCCCAACTGCCCTCCCTGCTGGCCTGGTTGCCCCTCACTGGCCCCCTGCTGGCCTAGTCACCCCAATCTGCCCTCCTGCCAGCCTGGTTTCCCCCAATAGCCCCCCTGCTGGCCTGGTCACCCCAACTGCCCCCCCTGACAGCTTGGTCACCCCTCATAGCCCCCCCCTTCTGGCCTGGTTGCCACCAACGGCGACCACGGACAACCAGCATGCGAACCACTCTTTCTATTGTCTCGATAGAAAATGATATTAAAAAAGCTGCCGCCATATGTAATTGTAACTCAGATGTGCACTCCCAAAAAGTAGGACACAATGAATGAGACAGTTGATTAATAATAACAGTATATATTTTTTATCTCGGCTTTGTGAAACTTGAGGTCTTCATGTACCTTTAAATATTGCAACTTATATTATTTTCATTTAAACATTTACTCTTATGCTAGTTTTGTATTGCAATTTGAGTCCTTTTCCTGAACGACATTCCCCTAAATGTGCATCCTCCTACTCACTAATAGCCACAATTGGCTCC